AGTCATGACAGAAAATATGCACAATGAAAATACTCCGTTTCACAATAATATAATTAACCTGTGTGACTGTTATAACAGAAACTAGAACCTCTCTTCTGTCATCCAGCATCAAATCTTCCTTCTAATTCACTGGACTCTGAACATTCCAGCTCTGTGCTTTTTTTACATGATGCTTCTGCTGGTTCAAACCTAACAGGGGCTAGTTCCTTCTGTTTTTTACGTAATGTAGATGCATATACTGGAGGAATATTGCATCCTGTCAGGAAGTTGTTCGCGTGGCTGGGTCCGAAAACTGCATTAATCATGGCTGAAAATTAAAAATTTAAATACTGTACATTTAGCAAAGTGAAATCACAAATGCATTGTTTATCAATTTTCAATCTAATCTAACGCTGTACAGTAATATGGATGTAAATATTATTTTATGAAACATTTTACTCGTGTACATCTAGGAAGAATTCATTTTGTACACTAAAACATATACATTTTGTACATAAAAATTTTCCCCCTCCAACAAGAAAATACAAAATGTTAAAAATCCCATTGTTTGACCTTCAGGTCTTGGGTCAATAGTCAGTATTGTGTGTTATAACAAATACATGTAGCATAATAGATCAATATTGTGACATACCAAATATCAACAGGAATGCTACACATAGCCTTATGTACACACCATTCTAACCCCCATATCTCCTACAAAATTTGTTGAAACTAAATGGTTCTATAGTAGGCATATCCACATTTTGTACATGTATGGCTATGGTAATAAAAATTATACCTTCTGAGTGTACATATGTCACATTATTCCGTGGATCACACATATCACATCAAACGCTACAGTGTTCCGTGTAACATAAGAAGACCTTGGTAGCCCGGGATATGTCCTAATCAGTTTGTTCTTTGTAATATATGCATTCATCATCCATGTTAATAATGCGCTCGGGGAAAAGTAAAACAAAACAAAACAAACAAACAAACAAACTTTAAGGAAAATTCATATTGGAAAATAAAGTGAACAGTAATATACCGCTGTTCGAAATTCGGAACCAGACAAAATAAGTCTTAGATAATTGAAAAGCAATGCCTGAAAGTTGGATTTTGAAGCTTTAGCCTTGATTTTTATTTAAATTTTAAACAACCCTGTTTTAAATCAAATAATGCATTAATGCTAAATATTTATGAAAATCTATCATGACAGTTTTGTTTTTTTCACAGAAATCCGGCTTGAACGGTTGAAATAACAAAAGTTAAATTTCTTTTGAATAATGAGTTTGATGATTTCTTTTCTCCATTTAAAATCAAGAATCATTTAATTTGCTTTTCAATTGTATATTGAAAATTGAATACTAGGAAATGGGTAATTCGGATTTTTACTGATATATGTCCTTTTCAATATTTGAAAACTAAATTCAATTTGTTATATATTTTAAACAGGTACATGTACCTGAATTAAATTCACAATAAAACATAACTTGTTCATACTTCTTTTGCTATAACACAAATTCCAAAACAAACAAGCCGTTCATATATTTTTTTTAAAAATCAATGTATGTGCATGTTAGCGATTATACACGTTTTTCACAGTATGTTAGGCATTTAAATCAATACTATTAATTTCCAAATTTGTTGCAGGATCGGATGATTTAAAGTTTGATATTTGGTTGCGACGCTAGTTCTGTTTAAAGTCGTATACTGAAGAAATAGCTTTGTATGTGTGTATGCTGTAGTGCTTGTTACATACCGACGTATATATCACATTCATTGTTATTGACCTACCTGCCTATCGAAAACCATCCGCTGTTTGGCGTATATTTATTTAAAGGGATGCACAGAAACAAATTAGGAAACGGTTACATCCAATCTAAAACAATCATTATAGCGTGACACATCACTGCATTTAAAAAAAAACTTGCGTTTACAATTCTTTAGGTAAGAACATATAGGAAAGTGATTGTCTGCCTTAACCATGAAGTCGTTGTCGTTTGGAAAGCAGCCAAACGTGCCTTCATATCGTCCTCTAACATTTTATGTCATACCAATTTCTTTTCTTTTAATTTTAATTGTCACATGATGAGAATTAACCAACAAGCAATAACTAAATTGTTTCTGTTCTACAGGGCACTGTTTGAACCAGGACGTCCATCTGCCTTAGATATTACTTCAACAAAAGTTGAATTAAAATGGGAAGAACCAAGTATAGGAACTGATTTTATACATTTTTATCAGATAATCTGTGAGGAACAAAGAACAAGTGTGACATATTTCTTTGAAACTCCTTGAAATTCTTGCACGTTTGTCGTAGAAGGCCTCAAGCCCAAGACTGAGTATGAATTTATAATTCAAGCAATCAAGAACAGGGGAAATAAAGGAGCCATCAGTCAAACGTTTACAGTATCAACTTCGGAAATTACCTTTGATCAAACTGCCGAGTTATTATATGTTTTGTTTTACATTACAGTCTTAATATGGTTCATGTACTTATTCTGTTATACTGTGACAACAACATAAATGATTTGTGCCACTATTTATACTTCTTTCATTATTCGCGAGAACATTACAGATGGAAAAATAATAAACTATTGTATTTTACGACAAGTATCGAATGCGTTAATGGTGTTTGTAATTTGTCAGCTGTAACAAAAAATGATCTGTTAATGAAACTTTAATGAAATAAACAGAATAAGAATGTTTTTGTTTAACTACGTATTTGTCCATTTAATCACTTTTGAAAAATTAAGAAATAACACATGAAATTTTAAATGTAATTTTGTTCATTTTGTTACATTCAATCACTCAGTTGTCTTACTTCATTCAGTTGAAATTATGCCTCATCTCGCAGTCATTTGATTTTATAATGTATGCATTGAATGAATCCCAAATATATACAATGGATTTTACTTAAAACTCATAGAAGTGGTTTGATCAAACCTTGATTTAACGTGTTTAGTTTATTTTGTCTTTTATTCCTTTACTACTGAGTATTTCGGAAACTTAAAAGAATGTGCATACGTTTTATTATATTAGGCGTACACAAAAAATGAATATTGATACGTTTTTTTTAAAAACTTTTTATACAGTTAAAGATGGCTTCAGAAATATTGTGCTTATATAATTTCAAAAAGCAATGCCAATCTGATGTGGATGCAGCATTGTAACAAGATTTTCTGTAAAATATCTCAATGAACATGCAATCAATGATATTGTTAAAATATAGAAGTTCTGCTTCATATGTTGATCTTCTTTTTTGATAATTAATCAGCTGGACAACTTCAAAAATGATAGTTTCCACTTTTTAATTGTTATGTCTTATCAGTAACATATCATTAGTAATATCTGTCCCATTGTTTGACGTTTACATACTTCAGTTGAAACGTTACGGACATGCATCTTCACACTATACGGGTGTTATCAGTAGGGGTGTGTTTCTTACATAAAAACTCGTTCAATAGAGATATGAGGAATACACTTACTTTAACATGTATAAGTATTGAGTTATGAAAATATGAATCAAGCTCATAGATTTATTAATTGGTTTAATTGTTCTTTTCATTTTATTGAATGTTCCCATGTTCGACTTTTTTTTTAAATGTTCAACTTGGTTTTTATCATATAACTAAGATGAATAAAATGAGATTATTGTCTGACATCAAATCAATTGAAAAAGTGTATTACATCATTGTAAGTTATCTGATATTGGCTACTATCAACTGTAACCCATTCATTGAATATATATATATGTAACGCAGTAGTGTACATGTCCATTTAAGAAATAATAATTAGCAAACATTGTTTCAAATGCCTGTTCTCGGGTAAATCGAATTCAACATATTATGTGTGTTTTTTAATGAGACAGCTATCCATAAAGAACTATTATATTACATAGATCAGCTATTTATCATTCATTTTGTGTTAAATCATAAAATGTATAAAAAGAAGTCACAGGTCGATTTTCGTTCTATTTGAGAAGTATTTGCGGAAACTGTTTACCCTTGACGCAGAAAATTCTTAAAAGTCAATAGTTTTGGACAATGTCTGATGTTTTTAAACGATTGGAAAACAGCTGTCATATTCCTGACTTGGTACATACATTTCCTTATGTAGAAAATAGTGGATTAAACCTGTTCTTATAACTAGCTACACATCTCACTTGTATTACTAAACTTCCAATATAACAACAATGCGTGAACAAAAACAAACAGATATAAAAGGTAACAATATCAAAAATAGGGGTACAACAGTCAACATGGTTTTATAATCTTAATCACCATAAAAACAAACAAATACTTCAACAAAGAAAAACAAAAAGGCATATATATAGTGCACTGAGACTATGTTTATTTTGTATGAGCAGTGAACCAAAATGTGAATTACATAGAACAGCTAAAATAGTGGAAGTTCGGATTCACGTAAGGGTTTTTACTCGGTAGATTAACTGTATATCACCATCATCGATTGTAAAATATTAGTTCCCAATTCAATAGGTCCAGTTCTTTGCTTAAATCTGCAAACTTTGAAACAGATTGTCAATTAATGGGTAAGAGTGTTTATTTGAATAAAAGAAAATTAGTGATTTATTGCATAATTCGGACTGATATAAAGTTTCAAATGTTTTTGTTTGTTCGAATCAAATTGTCAACTAAGCCATTAAAAGGGCAATAACTCAAAGAATAAAATTTTGGTAATGGAATGATAAAGAAATCTTCAACGTTTAATTGTAGCAAGAAAACAAGGTCGGTGACACCATTTTTTATTTTTATTTTCTGAAAGAATAATCTAAAACCTATCTTCGTATATTTTATTTCAAAATTCTAACTCATAGATTTCTTTTTATTCACAAAAAAATATATTTTCCATTAACAATCTATGCAAATTCGGGCAATTTAGCAGGACTGTTACACAGGAAAAATTGCAACATATGTTTTTCATATGTATGAAAAACATATGTTTACAAACATATGTTTACATATGTTTTGAAACATATGAAAACATATGGAAGCAAACATATGTTTTCATATGTTTTAAAAAATATGTTTACATATGTTTGTAAACATATGAAAAACATATGATTTTCATATGTTTTCATATGTTTTAAAGGACATTTAAAAAAAAATGTTTTGAGAAAATGTCAAAATTTGTCATTTAATTATCACATACGTTTTTTTCATTCATTATCTATATAGTGTATTTCTCAAACAGGAAAGTGCACTTTCTACTCTTCCCACTAAATCCCACATCATCATGATGATATAAGCATGTCAGCCCTCAGGCTATGTGACCCCCACAGCAGAGCTATCTAATTCTGAATGGAACATAATGTAAAATAAATGAATGAGTTATAAATATCAAATAATAATATGAATAAATATTCTTTATTTAGTTTGTTCTTTATTCTCAATTCTTTTTTTTTTATCAATAATCCCATTATTCTCTATGATTCTTTATTCCATATTTCTGCTTTTTTTAGTATCTGTTCTTTATTTTTTTTTTCCTTTATTTTGCACTTTTTGTCATTATTTTCTATATTCTTAAACCCCAATCTTGATTCCAGACCATCATATATATATATATATATACGTAAATGTACGAAAGCTTGCATGGTGCGTCGAATACGGAAACCCGGAAATCTTTTCACCGTTACCATTTTTTATTTTATGACGCAAAATCCATGGACGCTCACGCGATCGCTGTTGTCATTTAAAAAGTTTGAATGGACAGAGATAAGATGATACAAAGAACTTTGGTTTTTCAAAATTGTGAATCAAAATTTATTATAAGCAGATAAATTGAAATGGGTGACTTGTCGATTAACTGGAAGAAACCGGGGAACGAAACATAGAAAATTTATAGAAAGTCAACGCAACGCAACGAAACAGCGAAAGTGATTTTGTTTTGATGGATAGTTTTACGTACCCTAAAAGCACAACGAAAGGTAAATATTATTATGCACATTTTGTTTAATTATTGGATAAAAGCAGGAAGATGTGTGTGCTTTATTTTTCACGAAAAACTATTTAACTAGATATATGTAAACCTGATATTTGTATTTGTTTATCAGTTGTTTTAAAAACATGGGGCATGACACTGTGCAGATGACTTTATAATCTCTTTAGCAATTAGTAGCTATTTTACAATTAATAGATAAGGGTGCCCCTGGGGATCAATTACTCCCCCTTTTCATTTAACTTAGATTTAAAAAACGTATATACCTTTTCATACATTGCGTAGGTAATAATGTACATGTAACCTTTTCCAAATTTTAATTATGAGTGATTCCAGGACATGCTGGAGCGGACAAGAATCACATTCTAGCATTACCGAGAAAATCATCACATTTGATTAAAGCTCTTAAGGCAAATCAATACTTGCAACTAAGAAAATTACAGGGCTTTACATATGACAAGTACAATAAGCCTTAATTATCCTGAGTCTGAGACTACTTTTACTGAGTACTAGTGTGAAAAGGCTTAACTCATCTGACATCAGATCTGTATACGTACAAAGCAGATTTAACCACTTTGATTCATCACTTCATACAACGGTCATATGGATTTAATAAACAATTAACATAAGATGGATTAGAACATTCAAATAGTTTAATACTTTTTATATAGTTAATTTTTTTTCAGGGCAAGTCTAGATCTGTTTTCTTGTTTTAAAAGATCAAAATAAGCCAATTTTGTCATATAAAAATATTTAAGGCAATAAATTTGGCAGATATATTAATATTGTAACTTCATTTTATTATACATTTGTACATGTCATACATTATTTCTTTTAGCATTTTCAATGAAAGTAGTAGAAGAATCTAAGCAACAGAACATAATTCATTTGAGGCATTGGTTTCTAGATTATATAATGGATTCATAGATTGTCATATTGATTTATGTGCATATAAGGAGCAGCAGGCAATAATTATTTTGTGATGAGAGGTATGTAATGAAAAGGATAACTGTTTAAATATTTTGTTTATTCATGTAATATGTATGTATACCAAAGGTTTATTATATATACCAGTAATGTCTTGGATAAATTATTTATACAGGAATTACTTCACTTTGAAATGTAAATTCTATGGAAGATAACCAGTAAAGCACTGCTATGGTTACATTTTTTTGTCAGATATTTTTGTAATTCATACCATGCATGTAGGTCTATATCAGCATAGGCTTTTATGAGTTAGAAAATAAGTGCTGATCAAATATGTTTATAGGAGTTATGCCTCTTGGAAATAGATATTGTAAGAAAAATTGCATTGCAAGCAATCCCACACATCCTCATTTCTTTTAGATTATTTATAATTTATGAAAAAGGTTAAAAAGAACATACATATTTTTTGCTTTTTGATAGCAGATTTTATACATGTATATCCATCAATTGGCGAGGTACATTGAAAAGCTGTTCTTTTATTAAATACATGAAGTATGGACAAAAAATGATGGATGGTAACACAAATGACAACATATTATGTTCATGAGTTAATATTTCCTTGTCGGAAAATAGTATACGCGAAGTACATTGTACTAACATTGAACTATGGTAACGTTGTAGTGAATGACGTTATTGTATAGATTTCATAGCTACAACGACGATTAAACGAACATTGCAATCATAAGTTTTTATTGAGATTCCACAACATGCCTATAAATGGTGTATTTAAACAATTTTGCCTATTTAACAGTAAATCAAGATTTACTAAACATCAAGAGTTAAGGCCTTAATGTTGTTTTTTATACGACTGCAAAAAAATTTGCAGTCGTATATTGGTTTCACGTCGTCGTTGTTGTCCGCGTCGTCCGAAGACACTTAGTTTCCGGACAATAACTTGAGTTTCAGTGAATGGATCTCTATGAAATTTAAACACAAGGTTTGAAACCACAAAAGGAAGGTTGAAATTGATTTTGGGGGTTATGGTCCCAACAGTTTAGGAATTAAGGGCCTAAAAAGGGGTCAAAATAAGCATTTTACCAGTTTCCAGATAATATAACTTGTGTGTAAGTGTATGGATCTTTCTGAAATTGTACCACAAGGTTCCATACCAAAAAAGGAAGGTTGGAATTGAATTTGGGGGTTATGACCCTAACTGTTTAGGAATTAGGGGCCAATAACAATACTTTTCTAATACTTTGTATAAATTGCTTATTTCTTGACCAATTTCAATGGGGTTTTATTCTTGAATTCTTGGTTTTTTTTAATATGCTGAATCTAACCATGTATTCAGTTTTTGGATTTTGGGCCCCGTTTTTAAATTGGTCCACATTGAGGTCCATAGGGTCCAAAATTAAACTTTGTTTGATTTCATCAAAAATTGAATTATTGGGGTTCTTTGATATGCCGAATCTAACCGTGTATTTAGATTTTTAAATTTTGGTTCTGTTTTCAAATTGGTCTACATTAAGGTCCAAAGGGTCCAAAATTAAACTTAGTTTGATTTTAACAAAAATTGAATTCTTGGGGTTCTTTGCATTGATATGCTGAATCTTAACATGTATATAGATTTTTGATTTTGGGTCCAGTTTTCAAGTTGGTCCAAAATTAAACTTTGTTTGATTTCGACAAAAATTGAATATGAGGGATTCTTTGATATGCTGAATCTAACAGTGTTTTAAGTTTTTTGATTTTGTGTCCCGTTTTTAAATTGGTCCTCATTGAGGTCCAAAGGGTCCAAAATTAAACTTTGTTTGATTTCATCAAAAATTGAATTATTGGGGTTCTTTGATATGCCAAATCTAACCGTGTATTTAGATTTTTAATTTTTGGTCCTGTTTTCAAATTGGTCTACATTAAGGTCCAAAGGGTCCAATATAAAACTTAGTTTGATTTTAACAAAATTGAATTCTTGGGGTTCTTTGATATGCTGAATCTAAACATGTATATAGACTTTTGATTATGGGCCCAGTTTTCGAGTTGGTCCAAATCGGGTGCAAAATTTAACTTTGTTTGAGTTTAACAAAAATTGAATATATGGGGTTCCTTGATATGCTGAATCTAACCATGTATTTAGATTTTTGATTTTGGGCTCCGTTATCAAATTGGTCCACATTGAGTTCAAAAGGGTCCATAATTACATTTTGTTTGATTTCATCAAAAAATTGAATTCTTGGGGTTCTTTTATATGCTGAATCTAACCATGTATTTAGATTTAGGATATTGGACCATAACAGGTAAATGTCTAATTTAACATTTTTAAGTTCTTAGACCACATTCATTCTGTGTCAGAAACCTATTCCATGTATGCTGTGTCAAATATTTAATCTCAAACCAAATTCAGAGCTGTATCAAGCTTGAATATTGTGTCAATACTTGCACCATCTGTTGGTCGTATCAAGCTGCGCCCTGGGGAGCATTTTATTTTAAACTGTAGACAGCAGAATAGATCATTTTATATTAGAAAAAGTTCATACTATACTGAGACGGGCTTAGGCTATACATATATTATTAATATTAATTACACTTTTGATCTTTTTGTTGTTTGTTGCATATTGTTTCCATTCACTCAAAAGTAAAAATATAAATTAGTGAGCAACAGTTCATACTACGTCTACAAAAATGATCTTGTTTTTGTCTGGACTTCTGGATTAAATTAAGATTTACAATTTTAGCTTGTTACCACGGTTACCAAATGAAAGGAAAGTACAGTATTAAAATCACTGGTGTACATGTAGGTGCGGATGTCAGGCAAAAAGAACTGGTATCAAAGTAAGTTCATCTGTAGAATTGCAGTTAATTTAAATAATTTAATGTTATCTAAAACTTTTTCAAGTGTAATTGTACATGTTACAGCATGTATATCATGTATACTGTTGTTTATTTATGTCTTTCTGATGTCAAGTATGCATCAATTTGGTGGCCTTCGGCTGTTGTCTGCTCTATGGTCGGGTTGTTGTTTCTTTGACACATTCCCCATTTCCATTCTCAATTTTATCAAGGAATCCTTCTTCTGCTCCACACACACACACGCATGAGATGTCAGAAGTTAAAATAAAGCATTTGCTTATATTACAATGTATTATGAATTGTATATTTAAAAGTTGTTCTCGTCTTGAATATACATAAAATATTTGCCACTGAACATTAAAATAAGCTAGAAAAATCAGTCAATTATTGTTTTTGCATTATAGGAAAGAGTTTTCAAACATATAACAATTGAATAATTTCCTTTTAAGATTTTTTATGAACCAGCATATAGATATAACATGTATAAGGAGATGAGGTACATGTATGATTTTCAATGTGACAACTATCAATTAAAAAACCAAAGGACGAAGATGTAAACATTTGCTGGTCACTGTACAGCCATAAACAATGATCATTATCCATACCATAAAGTAACCAATTATGGCTATAACTTGTATAAGGATGAAAAAATGTGAACCAATGAAAAAAATAAAACTACACACAGTATGGCAGACAGCACCCAACATAAGAAACAAATGTCAAAATCAGCCAGAAAGGGCTGGACTCATCAACAAGCACTTAAAAAGAAATAACAAAATAATAAAAGATGCAAAAATTATGTTTTTTTTTCCAAAAATAAAATATCTATCAATTCACCTTCAACAAATTTAATCAATTAATGTAAAAACAAAACATTTGTCATTTCAAACAGTCTAAGAAAGCATGACTTTGTGTAATGCCAAAATATTGAACACACAAGAATATGTAGGACCATAACAGCATATAAGTATTAATAATTGCATAGAATTTCTATTTCTGAAATACAAGTTCTGCTTTTTGTCAAGCTTGCAAATTTATTTCGTGAAAGCGAGACAGTGATCCTAGATTCTGCCAGGGGCGGCGTCGCTGTTCTAAAGTTTAGGTTCAGTCTGTGGTTAAAGTTTTTTTGTAATGTTAATTTCTCTCTTATTAATATTATTTATAGTAATCATGGTAATAGGATATTTCTATTTACTTAGTATGTGGGTACCTTGCAAGGTCCTATAGCTAGTGTCTGTCTACTCTGTCAGAAAGTTTTCGTGGTCAAGTCAATACCTCAGGTATTTTAAGCAATAAGTTATACTTACTATATTTGGTGTATGGAATTATTGTAAGGTGTAAATGTCCAACTGGCAGTTGTAATATGATGGCCAATTGATTTTTTTCAAAAGAGTTATGCCTCTTGGAAATATTAAATTTATGGAAAATGGCCTCGTAAATGCTCTCAATTTATTTTATTAAACTTATAGTATACTATTATAGAAATGCCCTTGAAGGTCAGTTTGAAATATTTAGTATACAAGAAAAAGAACCTTTTTTTTCCCCCAAGCACATTTTTTATTTATAAATATTTTGTTGTTTTTTTTTAATCATGTTAATATTGCCCCTTGATAGATAAACTATAGGCTCTCAAGAGCCTGTGTCGCTCACCTCACTCTACTTGGGTTTTTGAAATCATATAAAAAAAGATAAAAATCATAACAGATACTTATAATAATGTTTGAGGCCAAATTTGGTTTAATATTGCTATGTTTGCTTTCATTCCATTCAGTGGTTCTCTAAAAGAAGACATTTGTATGTATTTCCCGTAGGGTCCTTTGTTAAACTAAGCCCCCGCTGGTGGCCATCTTGGATGATGGATCGGCTACAAAGTAACAACACTAGGTCAGCACCTAATAAGGAACATTCATGCTATGTTTGGTTTCATTCCATTCAGTGGTTCTCTAAAAGAAGACATTTGTATGTATTTCCCATAGGGTCCTATGTTAAACTAAGTCCCCCGCTGGCGGCCATCTTGGATGATGGATCGGCAACAAAGTAACAACACTTGGTCAGCACCTCACAAGGAACAGTCATGCCATATTTTGTTCCAATCCATTCAGTGGTTCTCTAGAAGAAGTTAAAAATGTTAAAAGTTAACGACGAATCCCGACGACGACAACAGGTGCCAAGTGATGAGAATAGCTCACTTGGCCCTTCGGGCCAGGTGAGCTAAAAATGTGCAACTAGGTGGACATTGAAACTCTGTTCTTTTATTTCTACTTGCAGGAACTGAAAAGTAAAGAAACAGAACCAAAGAACATTAATTTTTAATTAATACAATATTGAGCTCAAAGTCAATCTAGTTGTCTTTCTTAATCATACAGGATATTTCCAAAAAGCAGCTGCATACACATGCACCAGTATTAGCCAGCAGTGTAGACAATTACATATCAGTGTATGGTGATATAGCAATAGAAATATATCATACATCATTGGAAAATATAGTATAGACAATAGAAATGGAGTACACATGTATGTCAAAGAGACACACATATGAAAATATAATATAGACAATAGAAATGGAGTATGTCAAAGAGACAAACATATGAAAATATAATATAGACGATAGAAATGGGGTATGTCAAAGAGACACACATATGAAAATAGAATATAGACAATAGAAATATGGTACAATGTATGTCAAAGAGACAAAAATATGAAATAGACGAGACAACAACTTAATAAAAAAAGTTCTACTTGATATAAAAATTATGGAGCACTTATTGTTTTTTATTTGTTTGAGCTTTTGATTTTGCCATGTATTTTCTGTGGAATTTGGTATTTTGGGTTTTTTACTTTTAAAGCAACAACTCATCACAATGAAGTATTTACACTCAAAATGAGTTCCTGACAGAAAAAAAAGATGACAAATTAAAGAAAAACATATTAAAAAACATCAAAACATTACCCTTAAAAACCTATCGCAAAAAAAAATACATATATATAAAAACCATGTTAAGAATCTATGAGAAAATAAATGCATTTGAACAATTAAAAACATATAAAAAATAAATATATTTAAGACCAAGATAAAATCATATGAAAACATATGGTTGGGCCAAACATATGAAAACATATGTTTAGGACAAACATATGAAAACATATGTTTAGGCCAGGTATGAAAACATATGAAAAACATATGTTTGTAAAAAACATATGAAAAACATATGTTTTTCATATGTTTACATGTATGTTTTTCATATGATTTTAAAAACATATGTTTTTGATATGTTTTCCATATGTTTTTCATATGTTCGAAAACATATGTTTTCATGTCGGGCCTAAACATATGTTTACATATGTTTTCAAACATATGAAAAACATATGTTAAACATATGAAAACGTATGTTGCAATTTTTCCTATGTAGCTTGAAAAGCAGCACGGTGAAAAGTAAAATAACAAAAAAAAACGACCTCCGAGGAAAATTTGTATCACATTTTTGAAAAAAGCATGGACAAATCTACATACTGGAAGAGTATAAGAAAATTCTATCTGGGGAAATATATACCACCTTTAGCACAAACAAAACATTTAATTCAAATAATTGAAAAAAGCATGATCAGCTAGTGCGTGAGTACGAAATTCAATACACTTCTAAGTTGGTTAATGACGTCACTAACTGGTATGTTTAAAAGAAAATTATAGATCATAGAAAAATACATTTAACACATCGTTTTATTTGTTTCGTTTAACTACTCATTTTATTTGTAGTTTAGATACACATATCATCTAGAATACGGTTTTTGATATTTCATGTATATTCCTAATAAAACAAATTCAATAAATTCAACATATAAAGATAGATGACTGCATCACAATTATTTTTAACAACAAAAATCATTGATTTGCGTATGTTGTCGTCCAATACAAAATGAATTTAGGTAAATGTTGGTACGTTTGTTACATATTCTTGCGAATGAATATTATTCTTAAAAACATTTTTCGATCAAATGTATTTTAACTGCTGGTTCCTTGCAAAGTTTTTTTATCGTAATGTTGTCTGTCCTTTGACATATTATATTTGATTTTCTTATTATGATTTTTATTAGGAAAGGAACAAAGAGTTTTTATTATATTTTTTATCTGATTGAATATATATATATGCGTACAAGATAACTTGATATTTCTAACACATATTCTAAGATGTAATGATCCTTTTAAACACCTTATGTTTTTTATAAACAAATCAATGTGTCGTTTAAGAAATATACACTTCAAAACAACATTCAATTTAAAAGTCCAATTCGACAGAAGTATACTATTCAATCTATTCATATTTAAATAGGTACTCATTTTACCCCATCAGACACCTGAAGAATATGAATAAGCGATTTCCAGGAGAAAAAGAAAGGTATATTTCAGCAATTGTTGTTGTTATTTGGGTCGTTTTAACATTAAGTCACCCAAAACAGGAATCTTATAGAGAAGATCTGACCGTTGTTATTTCATGTCTGTTTTAAAAGGAAGTCTATTTATAGAATATAAATTAGTTAAAATTTTAAAGACAAGACAATTCGCAGAACTGAATATGTTCTTTGTTAACGTTTTAGGTTGCATGCACAAATCAAAACATATAGACATGATAGATATGTATGCTTAGAAAAACAATCATTTTCTTAAAACCATGGAATGGGTATAGTGATGTCACGGATGATTAGTATATAAAAGCGTAATAAATAAAAACAGATAATATTTTATGAACCTATTTATAAATACAAAACTTTTTTTTTAAACACAGGTATGTATAATGATAATTGATAGTCAGTTTCAAATGTCAAAATTCCCATATACACACGTAAAAAAATGGAAAGAAGGGGACCTGGTCTACTAGATATAACAAGATGTGGTATGAGTGCCAATGAGACAACTCTCCATCCAAGTCAAAATTTATAAAAGTAAACCATACTAATGCACTTTTGATAAGTTGTTTTGTTTTAGGAGCAGTATGAGACAATTAGTCAGAGGGACTCCATATCTTTAATAGTCTGCCTTGAAAGTCACATGAAATAAAAGATAAAAACCTTACGAGAACTAAATAAGATAAAACAAAAAAGCACTAAAGCTATATACAGGTAAAAAAAGGTAGACGAAAATACAAGAAAGTTCGACATACCTAATCTGCGTATATCGGTGATTTTGCACTATGGAACACATGGCTGCAGGTTTCACAATTCATCCTGCAATCATCCAACTATTGTATCAAAAACAAAAACAATTGATGTTCATTGTCAGAAATAAAAAATGGAATTGTACTCGCTACGAAACCAGAGAAAAGCTCGATGAGCCTCGCTTTTTGTCATGTTATAAATTTCTTCTAAAGGTCTTAAAATACATTTTATATTTTCCAACAATCTACATATATTTATTACAATTGTAAATCAAGTTATCTCCCGTCTACCAGAAAAAAAACCAAAGAATCACATAACTGTATAAAACATTAAATAAGCCGTTTGACGTAAAAAGATATGTTATATTCCTTATCTAATTAAATATAGAAATAAGAAGATGATGTATGATTGCCAATTAGACAACTCTCCACCAAATGACACATATAATTAATAAGTAGAAGTTAAAAGTATAAATATATCGAGTGTATAGACAAGATACAAATTAACAATCCATGTCATATAATGCGGAATATACAAATATACATTAAAAAGTAACCTGGTCTCCATACCGAGTGGGAGCAATCACATTATTAACAGTGCATTGCTGTGTTTTTTATATTAAATTCTTTGGAGGAAGCAGTTTGATTAAAAACAAGTATATGGCTATATTATGGCTAAATAAAGGCAACAGTAGTATATCGGTGTCCAAAAGTCATAAATCGATTGAGTGAAAACAAATCCGGGTTACAAACCAAAACCGAGGGAAACACATCAACTATAAGAGGAAAACAAAGGAGCAACAGGAACACCGATGTGCAACAAAAACAAACGCCAACACAAATCGAAACGGACTATTTGATAACAACTCCCATATTTCTGACTTGGTACAGAACATTTTAAGAAAAAAATGGTGGGTCAAACACGGTTTAATAGCATGTCAAATCTCCCGCTTTATGACGATGTTACAAAATATCGCTAAAACACTACGTGACAGAAATACAGCACAAACACACGCAAACACATCCATAACAGGGAAACGCACAAACAAATAAAATAATAGTCGACACAACATGCAAACCGCAGAACAACAAAGAACATATTCCATTAACGACAAACACCACAGGATATCAAAAACAGTGACGCGTTAACGTAACTATCATGCAATCTCGAAGTTAATTATTTTACAATGTCCAAACAATGCTCATGACAATGACGGTATGGAAAGGCAATTTTATAATTATTTGGACTACAAACGATAAGACATAACAGATCACCCAACCGAATTCATAACAGAAACATCAAAAAACAAATCCATAAATGTCGGACGTACAAAACACGGAGACACGCCGCACAGCAATGCAAATTTACATTCAGTATAACAGTCATATTCGGGAATATGACAATGATAGTATTGAATGGCAATTTTATGATTATTTGGACACCAAACGATGCGACATAACACATTATTCAACCGAAACCATCTCAAAAACATAAAAAAATAAAATACATGAATGATGGATGTACAAAATACCGAGACATGTCGTATAGCAATGTAAATTTACTTTCGGTCGGTATAATAGTCATATTCGGGAAAAGGTCACGTTCGTACAGACGACATAGATGTTAATCACAATTTAAGACGTGATAAAAATGTCATTGGTTAGTTTAGACACAGACACATCGTATAGATCAACCAATTTGTGATGGTGGCCATAAAATTTACGGAGTGTCATTTCTAATTTTTCCTCCTCATAACTCTGATGGAGCAGTTTCTGCGTAAGGAGCACACTCCTGTATATAAAGTCAGTATAGTGTGAACATGCACGAGCATAACGTATCAATTGAGATATGTACACACCATACGACGGAGCAGAGGGTATGTTATTGCAGAGAAATGGGAAATTGATAATTGGGAAGTTGAAATCATCCAGCTCTGCTTATAAGGATCTAATAATGTTCCGTTTAACTTTCTGTTTTAAAGACCTGTTGGTATCAATTAGTTTTTACGTAGTGGTACGCACCTTTAAAATGTGTAGGCAGGAACGTCATTAGTTGCGCAAGCATGATGTCATACGTACCAGTACAGAAATAAGAAAATATTGTGGTCAAATCCTTTGCAGCAAAACATAAATACAGAATCTGTTCCTAAATAATATTAGGGACGACGTAGTACATGTATGATAA